CATCCAAATAAAACACCCCTATGCCTGTCTGGAGTGGGGACAGGAGAGACAGGGGACAGGGCAGGAAATCTATCCTTTCCTGTCAAGGAGATTAAAAAAAAAAAGTAATAATAATAATAATAATAATAATAATAATAATAATAATAATAATAATAAATCTGGGTTAGGAAAAGATCGATCGAGGTGAGCTAGAATATTTTGCTAGTGGAGGTAGACTATGAAAGGAGATTTCATATTTCTCTCCTAGGAGTCTCTCCAGGTCTGCAGCCGAGAATACACACAGCAAACGTTGTGCCTGAATTATAGCTGAGGGTTTGCTTTATTTGAATTCACTGGCGTTTATTTAAGAAAGTGAATAAAGGTTTTGTGTAAACAGCCATTATTTCTGATGAGCGCTCAACAGCAATAAGAAGGGGGTGGTTTTTTTAGTCGAGATTGTGGCAAAAGTTGACATTTCGGAGATTGCAGTTTGTCTTGCAGACGCCAGGCAGTCCCGAGGCAGGRGCTGCAGAGAAGGCTGTGTGTGAGTGTGAGTGTGAAACAGTGATTCCTAGCAAGCCGGAGTCTGAAAACAATTATTTTTTAAGACATAAGCTTAAGCCCGACATTAAAATAAAATAAAAATATTTTCCTAAGGAACCGGGCTGATCTCCCTGAGCTGAGGAGGGAGGCGAACTCAGGTTTCCTCAGGCTCCCTCCCGCTCCAGCAAGGGGGGCGCAGCCCTCAGCCAGCCCTGCTGCCTGGCGCGGGAAGGGATGCGGCAGCCCCCGTCCAACGAATTGCTCGCTTAAAAGATTGCTTCTCTCTTCCTTCCTTTCTTTCTCTCTTTCTCCGTGGCTATTATTTCTGAGGCTRTCTTGAGACTCTTCGGAGATGGAAGGTTTCTAGTAAGAAATCGGGCGAGAAGAAAGAGGATCTCGTCGGACTTTTAAGGACCACGCTTGGGGAGCCTGACTGGGATTTATCGGTGAGCTGCTCTCCAAGGAGCTCTCCCAGTCCAGCTCCGGGAAGCCAGAGCGTTCATCTCGGTGTGTATGGACACAAAGTCGCCCTTTGCAGAAGGGGGTTCCGATCAGGAACCGTCCTGAAAAGGCCTCCTTCTTTATTATTAATTCGTTTCCCCGCACATGCAGAGATAGGAGGAGGTAAACCTCCTGTCTCGTGCCACACTCTTGTCCTGTGCCTCGGTCTCCCGCAACCCTTATCTGGAATATGCCCGAAAAGATCTGTCAGGCAAGGGAAGGGGAAAGCGAGGCAGCAGTGCAGGCCACCTGGGGCCACATGTTCCAGGCACAGCGCCGAGCGATGGGCCGTGCCGGGGGGAGGGATGTCCCGGACACCCCCGACATTGATTTAGTTTTATTTATTTATTTATTTATTTATTTATTTATTTATCATTTATTTATTTAATTAATATTTTATTGGAGGGTGGGGAGGGGGGAAGAAGGCGCCCAAAAACCTGTGACCCCCCCCCCGCCTCGTTTAGAAAGCGTCGAGAGATGGGATCAGCGGAGTAACGGCGGCTCTTGCAATATGGCAGGCATTTCACATTTAGGAATAACCTGCACCGAATTGTCCAGTGTTACCGGGGAGGGAGGAGGAGAGCAGGAAGCGGGAGCAGCAAACGCACCGCCAGATTTCTTTTTTTTTTTTTTTTTTTTTTCGGCCATACTCTGGCTCAGCGCTGCACTGCATTACAAACAGGTCGCATTCACCGATGAGTCGCGATCTACCTGGCTATAATCACGACGCCATATGGACTTGTGCGGCAAGATTTTAGCAGTAACCACCAGCACCGCAAGAGCGGAAAAGCTTCGTTCCCGCTCGAGACTGACACAAATCTCTCTGCCCGTGCATCTTTCTGAGAACTCGTTTCGGTGGCTTTACTCTACCATTCGGGGACACGCACAAGGGAAACAATAAAGGGAGAGAGTTTTCTTTTTCTTTTTCCTTTCCCTTTTCCTTTCCCTTTTCCTTTCCCTTTTCCTTTCCCTTTTCCCTTCTTTTCCCTTCTTTTCTTTCTCTTTTCTTTTCTTTTCTTTTCTTTTCTTTTCTTTTCTTTTCTTTTCTTTTCTTTTCTTTTCTTTTCTTTTCTTTTCTTTTCTTTTCTTTTCTTTTCTT